TCGATCTCATTGATAAAAATATCTGAAACTCGAATTCATAGCGATTTGAATTATTATGAGAGATGAAGGGAAGTTCAATGACTCGAGAACAATAATGCCTAATGACCTGTGGTTTTGAGAAATCAAATGAAAATAATTCTGAATGTCTGTTTGTGTAAATACTTTATAAGACGAAATCACTGTAAAATTCACCAGCTTCGTAAAACATGCAAGACATTGATGAACCCAGTGTTTCATTTTGAACGTGACATATGATTCAGATCTTTCGTTCAAGTTACGATTTAAGTGATTATGTTTTCATGTCTCAAATTTTTATAGAACTTTGTTAACTTATTGTAAACATTCTGTCTTTGTATCAAATTTTCATTACTGAAAACTACAAATCAGTAGCTATTGCTATTTTCAAGCTTTTAGGGTTACATATATGCCTCTCTAATTCTAGCGCAGACATAGATATTCAGCAACGTATGACATTTTGTTTTTTTTTATTTTCTTCATTTACGATCTACTTTGATTCTTTCTTGTTTGTTAATAGAACTCGCTGATGATGAAAAACAACGATTACTAAAAGAAAAACAGATGTTACGTGATCATTGGCAAGAACAAATTGATAAAAAACAGCGACAAGTAAATAAACTTGATGAATAATTAACAAAATTTAAATTCGAAATTTTTAGTTAAAAGAAGAAAAACTTGCAGAAACAATTGCAGATGCAGAATTAAATAAGGTTACTTCAACAACAACAATAATTGGTTCTCGTCTTGCTGCACCTTATGCTAATATTGTAGAAAATGTTCGGTAATGATATAAAATTATATCTTTTCTTTTGTTTAATATATCAATTAATAATTCTTTAGCGATGAAATTATTTCTGAATATGATGCTAAAATGCGTGATGCTAATGAACGAGAAGAAGAATTTCGTAAAAGAATTCAACCAAACATTACTACAGATACGCCAACAGAAGTTCAATCATCATTATCTACTGCTTCTTCTACATCTTCACCAAGTTTTCATACACCAGCAGTTGATCAATCGCCAAGTGTAGTTTCTCTTATTGATAATAAATCAATCATAGTTTCTTCTCCAATAATGCTTGAAAAACCTAATAACATACAAACATTTGATGTAATATCAAAAGATGAAACACAATTAGTAAGCAAATCAATTGAAAAACCTATCATTCGACATACAGCAACTGAAGAAACAACTCAAGAAGAATATCGTCGTGCTGTTAAATTTGTACCTAGTAATGTATTGAAATCAACAATTCAAAATTATATGATTGATCATAATCCACTTGATGAAAGTCAAGGTAAATGAAATAGAAAAAAAAAATAATAAGACTATTATATTTCTTTTTCTTTTTTAATTCAGAAGAAGAAGAATTACCAGAAAAAATCTACGATTGGGATGCTATCATTGCTAATGGACCTCAATTCAAATATGATGATTCATTTGGTAGGTATTATTAGTGTACAATTTATTTCAGACTGAAACAAATTATTATCAAATGTTGATCCGTTTATACATATCGATAAGACGTTAGGCCTCTCATTGAACAGCATGGGGCTGCCTCTATAATCAGTACAAATTCAATGTCAAAGATTTTTAATTTGTCTGATTGTTGAAGTATTTTTTGGGCAATTCCCACGTAAGAGTTGATGAGAACCATCGAAAAATGATCTATATATCGTGCTAATTTCAACAATTTGCCTTAGATCCATGCCAAGATTGTCCCTGGCAATCGTGAATTATCTCCATCTCAAGATTACAGTGGATTGGAGTGTCCTATTTCTGAAACATGATAGATATGTGAATCTTTATTTGTTAATAAGAAAATAGATATTATCACATTTGAATAGTGAACAACCAGAAAAGTGTCAAAACTCTTTTTTTTGAACACTAGCGTAAAACCAGTGTTTTCATTGTAAATCATTTGCATTAAGATCTATCGACGACTTCGGATTGTTGCTTGCAATATTTTTTTTTTACCAGCATTGTATTTGAGACTAATGGATGAGTTGTTGTCATCGTTAAACTAATAATTATCTTAAAACTCCAGTATGAATGTGCATAATGAGCTTTTCTGCTTTCAAATAGTGTTACGCTTGTTTTATTTCTACTTAAATAGATTTCAAGGTTAATGAAAAAAATTCTCAAATCTCAAAAGAAAATTTCGCTGAATCTTGGTTTAATTTTGATATGTCACCATTACGTGTTTGGTTAGAACATTCCATATCACCATTAATTCATGTTCAGTATGTCTTTTTTTTCTTAATTTTTGCTATTTATTTTTCTTGAATTATTTTTCTTTAGATCTCAATTAGTAAATCGTGCATTACTTAATTATTTTTTTGATGAATTAAAATTATTATATCATTTAAATAATCTTCGTTCATATTATTTTCTTGCAACAGGTCGATTTGGTCTTGCATTTTGTTCAGAATTATCTCGATTATTGTTAACAAATGATGATGCTCGAATAATATATCGAGTGAATTCTATGCGTCAAATTTTATATACATCATTAGATCAAGCAGGAGAATTAAATAATTTAATTGATATTCTTCAATTAACAGCAAAGACAAATATACCAAATTCATTAAGTCTTTTAGATTCAACATTACTTGATTATTTTGATTTAATTTATACTATTCAATGGCCATTGAATATTGTTATTTCACAAGATATGTTAGAAAAATATAAGATTATATTTCGTTTTCTCCTTCGAATACTTATTGTGAAACAAGTACTTAGTGAAATATGGATTATACTTAAATCTTGTAAGCATTAAAAAGTCCTAACTTCTTGTGTAAAAGGTCATTAGACCAAAGTTTAAAGTTTTTGAGGAATGAGATTTAACCATAGTAAAAACTTTTTTTTATAGATATACAACGATAAAACAATGTTAGAAAGTCTATTCTATTACAAAATCTAAGTTTTATACAGAGAAACATTTTATTGAATAATTAAGTTTAAAATAATGAATTACACGAATAAAAAAAAAGAGAAACCATTTCATTCTAACAAGTCATTGGATTTGAATTCTTCAGAAGGACGAATAGATCAATGCATATTATTTCAACCATTGGTCTGCATTTTGCTGTAAAGCTAATACTTTGAATGAAAGATTCAATCTTGAGAATCCCCTTAAATCTAAATTAACTTTTTTTGATAGTTTAATTTATGATTCGCTTGTATAATACTGAATACATCAATGAGATAGCTCCCATTGTAAAGAAAAGTTTTACTATAGATTGCGTTATTCCGAAGTTGAGTACAACAAAAGATATTTAAAATAAAAGTTTTTTAAACAGCTTGAAAATCCATTATTGCATATTCATTTGTCTATTTTTCATCATTTAAGGTAAACAACAAAATGCAACTTTATCAAAATTACATCAATACAGGTAGAAAATATATATTTACTCTTTCTAATCATTTCCTATCTGTATGTATATATGTTCAGACATCACATGCAACATTTTATGACAGTTCTTATTAATTATATAACAAATCAAGTTATACAAATATCTTGGATTGAATTTATGCGTAAAATACAAAAAGCTAAGCATATTAATGAAATAGCTGCTGCTCATAATGAATATTTAGATCGAACAATGTTGAAGTAAACGTCTTCTTCATTTAGAAAAAATAGAAATTATATTTTCTTTGCAGCTGTCTGCTCACTCCGAATGCTGCTCCAATTCTCAATGAAGTAAATCGTGTTTTAACATTAATAATACGTTTTCGTTGTCAATTGAAAACATTCTCTTGGATTCTTAATGCAACTTATACAGATCCATCTGATACAAGTGTACAAGCATTACGTACAACATTTGAAAAATATCATATTGCTGTACTTTCACTTTTTAAAGGTTTCTATTACGAACAAAAGATAAAAAATAGTATTTCTTTTCTAATAATTTTCTTTTTTTTTTATCATTTTAGTTTTATCAAAACTTGTTGAAAAAGGATATAAAACATCATTATCTGATTTACTTATACGACTTAATTATAATGGTTATTATGATCATGTTGCTACCTTTTCTACTCGATAACATTTAATCATAGAGTATTTTTCTTAATGTGTCAGATTTTTTTATATCGAAAATCTTCATTTCAACTAAATAAAAAAGAGGAAATATAAACTTTTATCAATTGAATTTAGTAATTAATGTATTTTTGATTCGTTCGATATTTTCTTTGGAATTACAAGCACCATATTAAGAAAAAAATGTTGTATAATAATCAAAAGAAAAATTTGTTACAGCTTTTCCAGCTGGGCACATTGCACGTACATATATTTGTTCAGAATATTGAATAATTCTTATATATTGTTGACAACTAAGTATATTAGTTTTGGGACAATATGTCATATTTGAAACTTGTAAATATAAACTACCATAAAATTCTATTGTTGGAACAAATAATTGAATAATATCGTTATCGACGATGAATATATCTAAATTGATATGTGTTTGACACAGATAAAACGATCTGTTTGCCATGTACGTGTCATCTTTAAAAATTAACAAAAAAGACAGAAGTTATATCTTGTTGACTCGTGCGAGCTAAACTAATGATTTAAAGATTTTTTAGGCTACAGCGTACAAAGTGATGAGAAGAACCAATCACAGAAAAATGTTGATCCCAACTTCATGCTTAGTAATACATTTACTAGCGAAAAACGTGGTATCATTTTCTAACAGTGTGAATGAGTTCGAGACATCTTACATGACCTGCATCACCTCTGATATCCTTGTCTTGAAGATTAGGTTTTAATTTAACTATCAAATTTCTGACACTGCATATTGAAGTGATCGCTGGTCAATAATTTTTGCATAAACTTTTACAATACATGAGTTGTGAGAATATGGTATTTGGCGTATGTGTTACGCGATCAAAAATGACACCCATGAGAATTACCGAGTAAATCTATATCTTTTCACGTTTAGTTGTGATAAATTTCACCATGTTTTATTATAACTGTTATTCAAATATTTTTACACGAACTAAAATTGTAGGTCCAACATGGATATCCGTAAACTCTATTATCGATTAGCATTGGATCACCTGAATGAAAATAATCTCGTTGAATCCATGCCATTTCGCAAGGACAGCTCTCTTCTGTTCCCCATATAAAACTACCGGAATGAGCAACATCTAGAATTGGCTTTGACCCGTCCGATTCTAAGTATGGTTTAAAAATAGCTTCATCCAAATATTTCAAATTTGGTGTTTGATAAAATCGTATAAATACCGATCGACCACCAAATAGCGTCAGTGACGTGAGTGGAAAACTATTAGATGATAATTGTCGCCCACCAAGATGAATTTCTAATAGCCCACATTCGTTATCACAAGATGTTCTCAATGCAAATGACTCTTTATTAAACTGACTCAGATCATCACTAAAGATGCGCAGAAATTGCAATGAAGGTAAATAATAAAATGCATAGGAATCGACTGATTTTAATGGTTGGGTAGCAATACCATGAATTCCAAACCATAGTTGTTGTAATGTAGATTGACAAAAGACATTCGAAGGAATTCTTTGCACACTATCATTCAACATAGTTATTTTCAGAAGATTGGCAAAGTTACTGATAACAGAAGCAAATATTGTTTCGGATAAATTTGTGTTGGATGTTTCAAATACACGTACATAGTCATTGGTGTTGATAAAAGCATCGGAATGAATTGTTGATAAATATGGATTATGTTCAAATTGGAGGATTAAGAAAGTGAAATTAGCAAACACATTCGATGGAATCTCACTGAGTGTCGTATTCCGTAAGAGAAATGTATCGAAATGTCGATCTTCCATCGATGTCGACATCGAGTTTTCAAAGATCTCGCGCAGATTCAGCTTATTGTCCACAATGTTTTCGCATAAAATTGAGCGACCGTGCGTAGTCACATTGATAGAACTGAAGAAAAATGGATCTGTTAACGATGGTATAAATGAAGTACATATACATGGATAGAACCGTGCTATTGAAGGACATTTAGCATCTATGTTGAACATCGAAAAAGTTACGAATAAAATGCATATGAGGTAACAGAACATGATCGAAGCTGTCTCTCACAATATTGTTCGATTTTATCTACAAAAATTGTGTATCATCGTTTGTGTATAGATTTAAGCTCCAAATAAATGTCACAATGATTAATAGAGTGGGTAGAAATAAAACTGTTGTTCGCTATATTCACACAATCAGTTGAGTCAACTATTGATATGACAGATAACAAAGTAAATCATCGATGTTTATTTCATGCAGATTGATTCAAGATTTTAATGATAACTTTGAAATGGTCAATACCAATGTGTGTTTCACGATCATCATCATAGTGGTCATTTTCGAGACATTGGTCGTTGCACTTGCGTCTGTTGTTGTGGCAATGATTATATACCAGTTGAACAGCCGGTTCTCATTGTCGACTCATGCTATAGCTACCGTCAAAGTAATTATCCATGTATCTAACATTACCCAAGTGTTTACTTCCCGTGAGGGTAGGTGGGATGAGAGTTAGAGTGTGGGGGTGATGCTCACATTCTCACCCCATCTGGTCTTCATTCCAATCCTCAAATTTTCTTGTTAATCTTCTGGCTGATTCGTCTCAATCAGAAGAGAATGACTTATGATTGTTTGGTTACTCAGATGATATGTTGATCATAATGTTGCCTCTCTCACGATTAGTGGTCGTTTTGAATCGGTCGAATATTGATGAAGGGATGTTGACAATGAGGAACAATATGCAAATTGTCGATAGAACTGATAGCGGAAAACATGAGACTATTGATATGATATTTTTCAAATGATCAAAAAGAAGCTTCTTCAACATGTCAAATATAAACTTATTCTAAACGCAAACATCGAATTAATTTCTTTGAAAAATCTAACAATAAAACAGTTGCATTCTGCTTTGACACAAATTCGATAGGCTACTACACTCGATCATTCAAAATATTTGTACGCAGACTGTTCTTTAAGTGAAAAAAAATTTGATATCAAGGTTTTGCATGATTATCATTTGAAATCGTACCTCTTGAAAATAAGACT